GTGCTTCTCCCCTAACTCTTTACTAATTAGCGAGGACGTGTATTTCTCAAGGAGGAATACACGTCCCTAGGACCCTCCTCCTCCCCTTAGTTCCTCCCCAACCTACAGACTGCTTCACCTGTCTCCTAAGTGGTGGTGCTCCAGTGTTCTCGCAGCAGGCCCCAAGATGTTACTGTCCACTTCTCTCAGGGCCTGGGACTACACCTATGCTAAGCCTAGCCCTTCTCCTGAGTTAGGAGACTCCCCTTACCCAGCCTAGCCTCACCTGCCAGCTCCCTGGGTCAGTGACTCTCCATTAGTCCTGGCCCACACCTGCTGCCAGCTTCGCTCTTATACCTGAGCTCTTAAAGTGGCAGACACCCCAAGTGCCCTGCCACACTGGGCCTTTTAGGAGTTACCACAGGAAAATTATAGACGACGAAAATGAAAATACTGCTGGGGTGGCACTGATGCTATTTAATTATTTGAGGGAAGGAGGCCAATAACATTAGGGCAGTGATTTTGTTGTTTTTCACTCCCTCAATTTAGACACATTTTAGGAATCCTTCATGTTTGACTTTCCTATGTACATATAATTATAGGATTCATATATCCTTATTCAGTCTGGCATATTGCTAAGTATATGCTAATTACATTTTGAAAACACATGCATTCATGCATGCACACACATGGTGAAAATCAGCATCTACTAACCCTTCCAAAACATTTTTAGTTTAACATAATGCTCCTTGATTGTGCTTATGCATATAATAGCATGCACAGAACTACAGGGCCAGTTAAGTCATGGCTGTCCAACTAGCAGCCTGTGGGCTGCATGTCATCCCCAAGGAGTTCAGTTACAGCCCTTGGGTTCCCACCCAGCTGCCATTCCCCTTGTTGCTGCAGTAGCAGGTAGGAACTCCAGCCCCTCCCCCCACCCCAGCTTCCTCTTCCTGCCCCTTCCTCAAGGGGTAGGGGGCTATAGTGCAGCATAGCCTGCCATCAGAGAGCTCATGGCTGGGAAGCTAAGGGTAAGTCAGCATGTCTGGGTGTGTGGTGCACCAGGGAGTTGCAGGGAACAGCAGTAAGTGGGGTGTGCAGTGTAGCAGGTAGGCACAGGGATTAGCAGTGGGGGAGCATGTGCTGCAGCAGGGAAGTATGTGGGAGCAGCAGTGGGGATGTGCCCAGCGCAGTGTGGTGGGGGTATGCAGTGCAGTGGGGAGGCATGGGGAGCAGGAGTAGGCAGAGTTCAGTGAGGGGGGACATAGTATGCAGCAGGCTCCAGGCACAGTGCAGTGTGGAGGTGCCCTGTATGCAGTGGAGGAACGGGGACACCTAGGCTCTGGGTACATCAGTGGGGGACATGGGGTGCAGCATTGGGGGGGGGGGG